TCCAGGAGAGACACTCTGTGATGGCTGGGGCACATCAGCCAGAAACAGACTAGAATGGTATCTTGCAAGCCACGTGTTCAACAACCCCACCAAGCCATGTTCCCTACCTAATAGACTCCCAGGTACCACCTCGGCCTACAGAATTGACCTTCCTCTGACACGGGTCCTTGTCATACAACAACCCCAGTGCATCATGACTGCTGTCCTCTATTGAGCCCCTGTGTTGTCCCCTGTCTAGTGTCCCCTGTCCCCTGTTCCATCATGACTGTTGTCATCTATTGAGCCTCCTGTGTTGTTGAATAGCTTGATAGCTTCCATTGTACCTCAATCCCAGCTGCCCCTTGAGTAAATGAGCAAATGCTTGGAGAACTCCTGGCTGCGCCCACATGTTGTGGCCACTAACCTGCAAGGGTTTTAAACCATGCTAATTATGTATCTTCTTTAGTCACTAATGGTGAGTGTCCACTATGCCTCAAGTGCTGTCTGTAGCATCTCCCATGTAGTCTTCTGCCCACATGAGAAGTAGCCACCAAACCATCACTCATTTCTCTCTTATAGATAGGGAAACTGAGGCTGAAGAAGCTAACCCTTTGGTCAATGTTGAATAACTTGTGAGTGATGAACCAAGGATTTGAATTGTCATGTCTGGTCCAGAGCTCAATGTCTCATCATTTCCTGAGAGGGACATGTCCCCTTGCAGTGCTTTCCCATGCATTCCCAGATGACCCTCCAGCCCAGTGTCCTTTTCCTCTTAGTCACTCTAGACAGGCTAAGGGGCTTCATTTCTGCCACTGCTAAATGTCAGCCCACACTTTCTGCCTGTGGAACTTTCCCTTGTACTTCATAGGAACGTTCTGGGTGCCAGGCCCACTATTTTCCCCCACTCCCGCTAGCTCTGCAAAGCTCTCTGGTCACAAATCTGGGACCCTGAGAGCTGGCTGGAAGTATGGCTCTGTTCCCTAGTTATTTCCGGAGGAGAAATTACACTTCATTGCCTTTAAATGTATTTAATTGAGCATTCGTTCTGGCTGAATCCACCACAGAACCGTGTGAAATAGGAGAGAAAAGGCCTCTGAGGGCCCCCTGCTTGCCTTGAAATGAGCCAGCCTGGACACCTGGCTGCCCTGCTCTGCCACTCTGATGGCTGTGCAGGTATGTTCTTCCAATTCCTGCTGAGGTGAGGTAGGAGGGGGGCAGTGTGGCTAGAGATGAGGGTCACACAGAGACTCAGAGGCAGCGTGGGTGAGCCAGTTCTGATGGCAGGCACTCTAGGGGTGCTGGGCTCACCAGGCCTCACCCATCTTAGGACACATTTCCTCGCTTCCCTTCCAATATTATATAGCCCTTAGCTGCCCCCCACCACCGCCATGAACCCGGATTGCACAGTCTCTAAATCCACCCAGGATAGAATACAGAAGCAGCCTGACCACTGGCATCATCCTGGGCCCAAAATGATAAGCAGAGCAGATGCTGCTAGCCCCACTTCCTGGTCTGAATCTTCGCCCTCCCTCTGTGCTCAGTCCTGTTCCTCCCTTTGGGGCAAAGCTACTCCCCTACTCCTGGCTTTTTGGCCAAGGCTTCCTGCTTTCTCTAAGAGCCTTTGTTTTAGGTAGCAAAATGTACCTTTCTAGCAGGTAGATGAGGCAAGGGCACCCTCTCTGGTGAGTGTATCTATCTTCCCTGAGCTTTCCATGCAGTTCACACAACTGATTACTGATAAGGATGTTTCATCCATATCCATTCATCCTCTGGTCCTTCTGCTGTCCAAACCGGAAGTGAAACTCACTGTCCTGAGATTTCCCGAAGGGAATTCACCCCCTTGTGACACTTCCCTGCAGCCGGCCAGCCCTGCTCCCCTTGAAGAGGCCTCTCTGAGGTCCCCCTGGGATGGCTTCTCGGCCCTTGGCTCCAGCCCAGCTTCCCCCAGTGCAATTTCTGGCCAGGCGGGTAATAGATTTCTGTCTCCCTTTTGAGAGTCTTTTGTGTGCCCTCAAACTCAGAGCCAAATGTCCCCTACCTTCTGAAAAATAAAAAAGCTGTGTTTCTGGCCCCTGCGTGAGGAGATTTGGGGAGCTGGAGACCCTGGGGGCGTACTGGCCCACGCTTGCCTCTGGTAACTGCCCACCCTCTTCCTTGCGCCGTGTGGCACAAAGCTCGCTTGTGGGACACCAATGAAGCAGTTAATGTGGTGACATCGGCTCAGGGGCACCCACCCTGCGTTTCCTGGCCTGTGATTTATTAGGTGGGCTGGGCTGGGCTGCCCCTATCCCTGCCTTGTCCAGGAGCCACAGGGCCTAGAATCCTCCCTGGAGGGCCTGGGATTGAGCACTCTGTCTCAGGCTCCAGAGGTTACACGAAGCCATGATTTCCATGTCAGGCATAAAAAATTGGAGACTCGTTCAAATTGGCAGGCCTGGGTTCCCTTTACAGAGAATGGGCTGGCAGAGATGGCCTCAGTGGGAGCCAGTGTCTCTCATGCCTTCATACGTCAGAGTCTCCTGGGAGGTTCTAAAATGCTGATTGCCACTCAAAATCTTCCGTGTGTGTGTGTGTGTGTGCGTGTGTGTGTACACCTGCATGTGTTATGTGCACATATTTGTGTGTGTGTGTGCACATGTGTGTGTAAGCACGTGTGCCTACTTGTGCATGTGTGGAGGTCAGCAGTCCATGTCTGATGTCATCCTCAGTCACTCTTTCCCTTACTTTGTGAGACATGGCCTCTCACTAAACTGGAGCTTGCTGTTTGGGCTAGGCTGCTGGCCATTGGGTCCTCTTGCCTCTGCCTCCCTAGGACCAGGATTGCAGGCACGTGCTGCCACACCCAGTTGTTCACAGTGGATGCTGGTGAGCCAGAATTGGGCCCTCGTGCTTGTGCAGCAAGCAAGTTACTGGCTGAGCTGCAACCCCAGCTCCCTGCTTGCCACTCCAAAGCCTCCCTTCCTGTTGTTGGGAAATGGACAGTGTTGCAGTCACTAAGACATCCGAGTACAGTGGACATGCTGAACACCCTGGTTTGACAACAGTGATCTCTATAAGAATCTCGGATACCACATCATTTCACAAACACGCTCAGTTCTCATGAGCCAGTGAAAAACACGAAAATGTGCAGAGGCACCCACTGAGACCCACTGAGGTCTGTAGGGAGGGCCAACCTCAGGAATCCTTCTGAGACCCAAAGAAGACTCCACCCCTCCCTGTGTCGTGGGGTGGGAGGCATGGCTTCCAGTGCAGTCTAAGAAACTTTTGAATGTGAACACCAATGGGACCATGAAGCTTTTCTAGACTGAACGACCCATCTTCTGAATGAGACCAATGAGGTGCGGAGGGAAATAGGTTCACAGAGCAGAGTGGTGTAGCCTTTCATGGAGAATGGGAGGAGAGAAGGAGTCAGGAGGCCCTAGGCATCTGGAGAAGGTTAGAGCAGGGGAAGGAAGGTCCCTAGGTACTTTAATGCAGAAATGAACTATCTAGAAACAAATGTGTCCTACAGACCATGCTGTGTGTTCAGCTTCTGCTCTTTGTCAGGGCATGGTTCTGATCGGCTCTTCCCTGCCTGTGGTGAGGTGGGACCTCCATTTATAGGTCATGTAGACATTGTCTCCGTGAAGCACGTCTTCAGGTCTATTACCCATGCGCCTGCTGGGCCACCTCTCCTTTTGTTGTGCCTAGGTGCTCTTTGTATATGATAGGCCCTCTATTTAAGGTATTTTCAAAGGGTCCCCACTGTTCACTCAGGCAGTTCACCTTGAGTACTTTGGGAGCTCCGGACCTGATGGAAGTCCACCACATATGAACATGTGAGAGACCCAATTCTCCCAGCTGTTAACTGTAACAAGAGTGTGTGCTTGGCTCCTCTGGCATGGAGAAGATGTAAAAGTTTGTCCTAGTTCCCTCTACCACTCCCTAAGTGTCACTTTGTCACCCTTGACTCCCTCCCCTACCCGGGTTCTATTCCTAAGGTCCCTGCTTGCAGCTGATTAAAAAAAAATCACTTTAAGGTATGTGTTGCACTTGTGGTTTCATTCCCTATGGCTTCTGGGTAGAGGGAAGTCTTGGGAGAATGAAGTGAGAGCGTCACCCCTGTCCTTCTGACTAAGATTTGCCCAGGAAAGATGTGGTCCTCCCCAGGGAACCAGCACCATGCTCTTACTGCAGGTGTCAGAGCCCCGGAGGAAGGCCAATCACACCTGTGCACAGCTGTGAGCAGCTCTGCAGTACCCACTTATGCAGTCACACCCTCGTCTTTGCCCAAGTCCAGAGCAACCATGTTGAATGACTATCTAGGCTCACTCTCATCCCAGACTATCAACCTGAGGTCAGTCTCACATTTCCATTTCCAAGGCAGCACACTACCTCACTCCTCATGGATCCCCCTTGGCAAAGATCCGTCTTAGCACCCTGAAGGAGGGTGTGGCAGAATGCTCCAGAAAACAAGTTCAGTGGTGGGTTCACAGGCATAGTGACAGCTGATAGAAGATGTTTGTCATCAGGGGCAAACCAGGGAGTCCAGATGGCTTTTGTGAACACATGAGAAAAGGGCTCTGGCCATCACTGAACACCTCTTCTGAGGCTGGGCACATGTGACTCCGCTGTCCCCAAACTAGGGATAGAAAGATCTCATGGAAGCTATCCCAGTGACATTTTGACTGAGATGTTTTGCCTTCAGGTGGGTGACCCAGAGCATATGTATGTTGGGCACAGACCAAAAATAAACATGCACGGATGTCTGAGTCACAACCCCCAGAGCATTCTGTTGTGCATCCAAGTTCAGAGACGATGGTTTAAAGGTTAGGTGTCTCCTCCAGGAAAGGCAGCTGGCTGTCTTGCCTGGGCAAAAATGGATGCACTTAAAGCTTCCGATGGGCCCTGCCAGCTGGAGCGGAAAGGAGAACTCATGTGCAAAGGTCAAATTTAAAGCATGCCTAAACACCGCTGAAAAGGAAAGTAAAACAGAGTGGGGGGAGGGGGGAGAATCCAAATACAAACAGATAGCTAGAACACACAACCCGGATGTGCAGCTTAGAAATTTGTGGCTCATGTGCTACCACCAGCAGTGTCAGTCAGCAAGCTGAGTTGTGCTGCGGTAACAAGCAGCCCCTCCATCTCACTGCCTTGCAACCACACGGATTCCTCTTCACTAGTCTTGTCTGCTGTATGTCAGCTTCTCCCTGCCATGCCGCTTCTCTCTGGGATCCAGGCTACTGAGCAGGCATGTGGAATGTTGCTGTCTAGTGATAAAATGGAAACGGGCCAGTTAGATGGCTCAATGAGCAAAGGCACTTGCTGCTGAGCCTGGTGACCTGAGTTTGGTTGTAGAGACACACATTGTAGGAGGGAATCGACTCTTAAAAGCCATGTTCTGTGAGCCATGGCACACATGCACCCCTTCAACATATACACATAAATAAATGGATAGTGATTGAAAGGCACCTACCACCAACGTGTGCCCTTCACAAACACCTGTGCACGCATACCCGTGCATCCACACCCATATGTACACCTTTGCATTTGTAAACACACATGTATGTGTAACACATACAAGTCTAAGAAAGAGGTGGCTATCTGGGCCACTTCCTTGACCTTCCAGGTCAGCGCTCATAATTTTAGCCAAGCATTAGCGTCACCCAGGGACCATTTTTAAAAATACGGATTCTCAGGCTCGTAGGCCAATACTCTAGCGTCACTGAGGTTGAGACTAAGTGTGGGTGGGTATTTTCTACATCTTATCTGATTGTTCCGACAGGTAGCCAGGTTTGGGGACCACTGCTGGGGGCTGATAAATCTGGGGCTTCTGCAGGCTTGCTCCTTGACTCTCGGGAAGGGGCTAGGGTCAGTTGGCAGCCTTTCCCCACACATGCTCAGATGTCAAGATGCCAGCAGAAGGCCAGGACGGTGCTTTTTTGCTATGGATCATATCCATCCCAGAGTATGAGAGGAGTCAAATTCTGATGCTAGCAGAAACCCTGTGCTGTGTAGGTGCTACCTTGGGAAACGCTGGAGGCCTGAACCCCACCAGGGGTGTGCACGGTGCTTCCATCTAATGTGTCACTTAATGCCAAAACAAAGGGGCGCATCTGTGTCTGTGACATTGGCCTTTACCAAACTTGTGCTCCTTTGCTTACTAACATTAGGGTGTCTGCCATTCTCCTCTTCATCCTTCTGGGGCTCTTGAGGAATGGGCTGGCTTTCATAGTTTTCACACCATGAACTTTTTCCTAAGTAGCATCTAGGATAGCTATTCCTCAGACCCCTTTGCCTCCTCAAATTAATTCCCTTTTCCAAATTCACATGTTCTGCAGGTCCTGGGCTGAGAACTGCCACAAGGGCCAAGTATCCCACCTAACAAGGCATTCCTCATCCCCACATCAAGTAAGAGACTGCTCTAAGTAAAGCCATGACCCTGGTCTGAAGACACTTTCCACTACCCCATGCTGTGGCCAGAGATTCTTGTCACACAGCAGAATGGTAAGTTTAACTAACTTTGAATTTTTGATAGACATTTTCATAGTATACTCAAATGCCCCGGTAGCCCCTCAGAGCACAATTCTTAGGACTAGCCCAGACTTTTCTCTTAGCAGTCCTTGATGGGGTTTAGAATGGGGAGGGGCTCCTGACTGGTTCCCTAGAGGAATCGGGAGGGGGTCCTGACTGGCTCCTTAGGGAAGGAAAGCCTGGTGGCTGTGTCACTAGGTAAAACAGCCAGGAGGGTAGCTGCTCCACGGCCCTCACTTACCATAGGATACAGAATGATCTACAGCTCTCTCTGTCCCCCCAAAGCTGGGGCAGTGCTCCCTCACCTGGGCATCCCTGTGACTCACTGTTGCAGCAGGCAAGTGGCAGGTACTTAATGTCACAGTGCAGAGTGCGGCTCTGTTCCTGTCACAGCAGACCCTAGTGGCTTCCTCCCAGGCTTCAGCTTCCCAACCTGTTTGCTGGGGTGTGGAAACAGGGTAACTCTCAGATTCCCTCAACACCCAAGATGAGGTCAGGGACACTAGCATGGTGTAACGAGAGTCTGCTTTACTGTGGCTACTGAAGAAAGAAAATTAAAACCTACCTTTTGGATTACAAAACAGAATTGGTTTCCTTTATGCCTCCTGGTGGGAGAAACATTTCCATTATCTCAATTTATAAGATGCCATTTTGAGGCCAAGAAGAGATAAGTAAGTAATTTCAGAGGCCCTCAATTTGGGCAATTTCTAAAATCCCTTGAGTCTGAAATTGCTGTAAACTGGTTTCCTGTAACCCTTGCCTTTCTGGGACCAGCTCTTCCTCAGACATGATGGAGGAGCTTGAGAGAGCTATGGGCCAGGCCATGGGCAAGGACAAAGCAGAAAACAAAGTATGCAGAGTGTGACAGCGACTGGAAAGGCCTGACTAAGCTCTCTCTCTCTCTCTCTCTCTCTCTCTCTCTCTCTCTCTCTCTCTCCCTCTCTCTCTCCCTCTCTCTCTCTCTCTCTCTCTCTCTCTCTCTCCCTCTCCTTCCTCCTCCCCTCCCCCTCATCTCTCCCCCCTCTCTCTTTCTCCCTCCCTCTCTGTCCCCCTCCCTTCTCTCCTCTCTCTCTCTCTCTCTCTCTCTCTCTCTCTCTCTCTCTCTCCTTTCCTCCCCCTCCCCCTCATCTCTCTCCCCCTCATCTCTCTCCCCCTCTCTCTTTCTCTCTCTCTCTCTCCCCCTCCCTTCTTTCCCCTCCCTCCCCCTCTCTCTCTCTGTCTCTCTCTCTGTCTCTCTCTCTGTCTCTCTCTCTCTCTGGGCCTTTGACTCTAGACCACCTATGTGGTGTCAGGTTTGCTGGAACTGTGCTGCAAACATCATGGTCTAGACCTTCCCCAAGGCTATGCCAGGGTTTTACTCAGTAGCCACAAAGTAATGGGGGCTGCTCAGGACCAATCAGGCAGAACTGGCCCATGAGCCTCAGTGCCCCCATCAGGAAGTAGTTGGAATTGCCTGTAGGAGCTCTTCCGTAAGTATAGATGTCAGCCCAACCAGATTAAATTAGGATATCCCCACGGTCACTAATGTCATTTCTGGGTGGTCTGTGGGAGTGATTACAGGGGAGGCTGACATGTGACTACATGGGTGGGGAGCACCTCTGCTCAAGACAGACAACACCAATCAATCACCTAAGACCCTGAATGGAAGAGACAATCAGGAAAGTAGACCGGATTCTCTCTCAGAGTGGAGGCTTGCCTGTTCACAGACACTGTAGCTCCGGGTTTTCTGACCTTTGAACTTCAGCGCTTACACCAGCACCCTTGGGTGCTCAGGCACTGTACCTTGTACAGAGATGCTGGGACTCGGGGCTTACACTGGTTTGCTTGCGGGCACCCAGTCTCTCCAGCATCCAGGCAGCCCCTGGTGGGACTTCTCAGCCTCCATGCTCACAAGAACCAATGCCCCCAGCAGCACCTTTTCCTGCCTCTATTTGAGTATCTGTCCTCTATGTCTCTGGAGTCCCCTGACCACTACGCTTGTAACATGGTCCGCGTGGGTCCATTCCCTTTCTTGCCCGGCTCCCCTCCTCTTTGTCTTTGAACTCTGGTTTCAGTCCTTGCTTCTGGGAGGTTCAACATCCAGCAATGGGTGAGAGCTTTGTGACCTTGAATGGGCATTTGACCCTGAAAGTCTTAGGTTTTTCTCATCTGATGTCACTTGGGTCGCAGGCATGCCAGGGGTCGTCTGTAGGTGGCATTACCTGGTTCCCAAACAGTCTTTAAGTAATTTGTTATGGGTTCTGTGCCATGCATCCCAGAGAGGAATGCATAATGTCCACATAACACTTATGATTGTAAACACCTGCATAGCCCTTCTAGCTGAGGCTACCCCCCACCTCTCTCTGGACACCTGTGTTCAGGAATCCTTCGAGTTGTTTCCGTGAGGTGACCCGCAGGAGATCCCTGATGGGGAGCTTTGCACGTGACCAGAACTCAGCACCGATCCTTATTGCTGCTGCTGATTGCGGCTCCTCTGCCTTCCAGGCAGTGGATTCAGCGTCTGGGAGGCTGACAGGAGGCCACCGTGAGTGACATAGTCAGGACTTGCCTAAGCCCAGCACTAGGTGGAGGTGTGAGTGGAAGCCAGTACCCTGAACCTTAGCTCCAGGGAGCAGGAGCTGCCACCCCTATGGACCCTCAGTGTCCCTACTTATGTTCCATTCATGCTGCTATCCAGCCCCAGGACCACCTGCTTCCTACCCAGCGCCCCCTTCGCAGTCAGAGGCAGGGCAGGAAGAGCAAAGGGCAGGTGAGGGAGACCTTCCAGCAGGGGCTTCCGGAGGAGGGGGACAAAGGGATGGCCCCTGGGCAGACCCGTCCTCTCCTCTCCTCTCCGGGGCGGAGGAGGACCTTGGGCCCATGAATCGTGGCCAGCGGATGAGGCTTTGTTCAACTTGCGCGTCCCCAGCCCAGGCCCGGCGGAGAGGAGCTCTTTCCTGAGAGGCCGGACTTTCCCACAGGAACAAAGTGTGGCTTGTTTGCCGGGCATGAATCTTGGCGTGGGGCAGCCAGGCCAGGCTTGGCGCTGCCCGGCGGCAGCCCGGCGATATCAGTCAGGCACATTCCGCCTTCCCCACAGCTGGGGCTGACAGCAGGAAGCCGCGGGGAGCCTCAGGACAAAGGCAGAAAAATGGGCCACGTTTATTCATTCACTGACCAGCCTGGGCCTGGTTGGCCCATGGGCCCGTCTCCATGGCAATGGGCGGCCTTGGTGCTCTTGGTTGGCTCCCCTGTGACCACAGCCCCCCCGTGGCCACACCCCCAACACAAGCCAAGCATCATGGAGGCAGAAGCTGCCTGGAGCCTCCACCTCACAGCTAGTGGGGAGGTCTTTGCAGGCACTGGGGCAGAAACTTCCAGAGGCTGGTCTGATGGTTCACTCTTCTTACACATTTTAGCATAGTAAATTAACTTTGGGAAGGGGGTTCCACGCGACAGTTACACAACAAAGCTTCAGGCACAGCTATATAGAAAGTCCCCAGCAATGTAGCAAAGCTCCTGTGACCTTTACAGTGAGAATGAGTTCTATTGGCTGATAAACAGAGCTGAGGCTAGGGCCTAGAGGAGGATCTGTGATAAGGATGGATTCTATTGGTGGAGGGTGCAAAGTACATGGATGGGTTCTCTTCACTGAGAGACAAAGAAAGCTCAGGATACTGGGGGGATTCAGGTGGAGGCTGGCTCCAAATAGAAGAGCAGAAGACGGCCAGGCAGTCTGACCACTTTCACTCTGCCATTGCAGGTGACCAGGGTTAGTTAGTCACTTATTTCCTTTGAGGAAATAGGCCCGAGTGGTTGACATCCCTGATGTCTCCAACACTTACTCTAAGCTGTGCTTCCTACAGCAGGGGAGGAAGTGTCAGGGAGGCTTCCCAGGGGAACTGCCATGGGCACTGGGTCTTGAAGCAGGCAAGCTGAGTGGGGATCTGGAAGACGCGGCACTGAAGTCAAGCATCCAGGATTTGTGCCCACAGCTGCCTCTCCACAGCTGTCTATATGCTGCCTTGACGCCTCAGACTGTGGCCTCTGTGCCCCAACTCCAGGTTCCTCCCACCCTTAAGGCTGACTTTTCATTCTGGTTCTGCAGACTGACCTGAGTCCTCCTCACCCGGTTGTGGCACCTAGAAAAGGAGGAGGAGGGGTAGGAGGAGGGGGAGGAGGAGGGGGAAGAGGTGGATGTGTTGTTAGAAGGAGGGATGAATGGAGGGGAGAAAGGATGGATGAGACTTACAGAAAAGCCCTAGAAAGAAACTGGGCAGAGGGGGAGGAGAAGACACTAAAGACCGCAGCAGCAATAACGACTTAGAACAGGGGTTCTCAAGCTGTGGGCTGAGACCCCTTTGATAAACCTCTATCTCCATAGATATTTATATTATGATTCGCAACAGTAGCAAAATTAGTTATGAAGCAGCAATGAAAACAATTTTATGGTTGGGGTCACCACAACTTGAGGGACTGCATTAGGAAGGATGAGAACCACTGATTTAGAACATAAAGGGCCAATGTATAGTATGAGGTACCATTGAGTCCTGCACCCTCTTAGCCACAGCTAATTAGCACACTAACTCCTCTGGCACGAGAGTCCTCAACGTAGATGATGCAGACAGCAGCTAGCAGAGCCTACACTGCACCCCTGGACCTTGACTTCATGCTCTGTAAAACCCAGCTCCCATCAGGCTCATGTTCACTCCATTGGCCAGGGCAGATGCGACTGTCCTGATTTAAAGGTGAGGGGCGAGTGCCAAACCCCGCCACCCTCAGCCACTTGATGCCAATAAGGAGGCAGAAGCAAGAAAAGTCCCGCTGTCAACGAGGTGCTGACATATGGGCACAGTCCTCCTTCTGTTGTGTTGTTTTCTACCACTACTATTTTCTGCTTCCTGGGTGAAGGAGAGAGTCAGCCCCGCTGATGTCATCTGCAGACATCAAAGCCTCACCAAATCCAGCCCCCCCCAGCCCCCAGCCTCCCCTGCAGCTTCCTGATGCATGAACGAATGCTGTTGTCACAAATGCGCCCTGACAGGACAAGGAGAGGCCAGTGACGTCCACTCACCCTGCTGTGTGGGAACACCAGACCTTGAGCAGAGACCCACTTCCCCTTCTGCCTGGGAGTAGGCAGCTATAAGACAATGTTTAGTAAAAACATGTTTACTAAAAACGATACAATAAGTTCCTGGCCACTTCCCCTTCTGCCTGGGAGTAGGCAGCTGTAAGACAATGTTTAGTAAAAACCTGTTTACTAAAAATGATACAATAAGTTCCTGGGAAAGGCCTTCCCACGGAAACCGCCCTGACCTCGACCTTGTCCAGAGACTAACCGCACCTTCAAAAACCCACACACATCCACCTCTGGTGGCAGAGCAGGACCAGCCAGGGGAGAGGAGAGAGCAGAGGCTTCTCTGGTGGGAGCCTTTCTTAGGAAGTTTTTCTTGAACCTTTTTGGAGCCTGTTTAAAGTTCTCTTTATATCATTGAACGAGTCTCTGTGTTATCAATACCCGACACCCTCCGCACGTTCTCGGACACAGGCCGCGCAGCAGTCGTGACAATTGGAGGTCCCACTGAGATCGTGAAAGCGAGGTAAGTGGACGGGGTTAAGAAACTATGGGGAATAGTTCCGGGAAGCTAGAATCATTGCAGTATCAACTAAAAAAGTTACTTAAAGAACATGGGACTGCAGTCAAGTCTAAAACCCTAGAAGGCTTTCTAAAATCGATCGAACGAGCCAGTCCATGGTTCATTACTGGGGAAGCTTAAATATTCCAGATTGGGAGGAGGTTCGCCGTGATCTTCATAGACTTTTACGAAAAGAGGGATCTGAGTCCTTGCCCCCTACGACATTCTCCTTATGGAGATTAGTGAGGGAGCACTTTTGACAGATAAGGTTCGTCACCGCCAGGTAGTTCAGGACACAAAAGAGGCTTTTTAGAGTTACAAGAGACTGAGACTCAAGCCTCCTTGAGTTCAGGGGCAGAGAGTGATGATGAAGAGACCGTGATTGAAACTAGAGGCTCCATTGTTAGTGAGGATGAGGAGGAGTCTCTTAGTAACAACAAAAAAACGGGTAGACATCTCCGGGCGCGACCCAAAAGAAGGACTCCGGTCAGAATCGGTTATATCCTTCTCTATCAGACCTAGAAAATGGAAGTAGCTCAGACTCAGACTCGTCACAGTCTGAAAAGGAACGGTTACTTGCTGAGATCGCGGCCCTTAAAAAGAACTAAAAAAGATTCTAATTAAGGAAAGACAGGACAGGGAGAGAAACCCTTCCCCATACTCTGAAAAAGGGACTCCTCCTATGAGATAACCCAGTCCTTCTTGGACCTGGAGGGAAGACCCAGAGGAGGGGTCCAATGCTGCCCGGTGGTGGCCCCGGTAATGGAAGTTCCAGACCCGAACAATTCTCGACAGGTCATTCGGCGCCATGACCCTTTAAGTTTCAAAGATATAAAACAACTGAAAGAGGCAACTTTAAATTATGGAGCACAGGCTCCCTTTACACTTTCCTTAATGGAATCTTTTGCGTCTCTTAATTTGACACCTGGCGATTGGCAGCAGCTTTGCAGAGCAGCTCTGTCGGGGGGAGATTATTTGATTTGGAGAGGTGAGTTTCAGGAAAGATGCAGCCAGACAGCCCAAAGGAATGCACAGGCCGGACAGCCCCAGAGAAATGTGGAGATGCTTACCGGAAGTGGTCAATACGCCACCATTCAGCAGCAAATGCAATATGACATCGCAGTCTATGCCCAAGTGGCAGCAGCGGCCCAAGGAGCTTGGAAAGCATTGCCTTCCAAGGAAGGAGGAGATCATCTGTCCAAAGTCCTTCAAGGACCTTCCGAACCTTTTCAAGACTTCGTAGACCGTCTCAGTCAGGTAGCAGAAAGAATATTTGGGGGCATTGGGCCTGCGATGCCAGTCATAAAGCAGATGGCATTTGAAAATGCAAATAAATATTGTAAGGAAGCCCTTCGTCCCTATCGCAATAAAAGTCTAAATGACTATATCCGGATCTGTAGGGACATTGATGGGAACTTCATCCAGGGCCAAGTGTTAGCTGCTGCTATTCGGCCCCAAGTGGGGAAAGAAAGACCTACTCTGGGAGGGAGAAAAACATGTTTTAGCTGCGGTAGGGAGGGACACTTCCGTAGAGAGTGCCCTCAAAATAGTACTACGGGTCTCAAGAGACCTGGTTTATGCCCCGTTGTCGAAGGGGATATCATTGGGCCAATAACTGCTACTCTAAAACTGACAGGGAGGGAAATTTCCTTTCTGCTAATAATAATCAGGGAAACGGGAGGAGGGCCCCGCCCCAGGGCCCCAAAACCAATGTGTACGGGGCAATGACCCCTGCTCTGGGCAGTGGCAGGACTCATTTTCTCCCCAGAGCAACCCCTTCATATCTCAGACCTCCTTAGAGCCACCTCAGGGAGTGCAGGATTGGACCTCGCTCCCTCTGCCCGGGCAATCCTAACACCGGAAATGGGGATCCAGGCCCTCCCTACTGGGGTGCATGGGCCATTGCCCCCAGGCACGGTCGGACTACTTTTGGGACGGTCCAGTACTATTCTTCGAGGCATCCAGGTACACCCCGGTGTTATAGACCAGGATAGTGAGGGGAGATTAAAATAATGACATCAGTGGGCAGTGGGGTTGTTGCCATCCCTGCAGGAGAACGGATTGCTCAGATACTCCTTCTCCCTACAGCTCCTTGTGAGGCTAGAAAAATTAAAGAGAAAAGGGGCAACCAAGGTTTTGGAAGTACCGGCCCGGCAGCATTTTGGGTAGCCACTATGGAGAACCGCCCCCAGCTTACATTAAAGATAGAAGGCAAGTCCTTTAGGGGCGTCTTAGATTCTGGGGCAGATTTCTCTGTCCTCTCAGATAAATTCTGGCCCCCCACCTGGCCGAAAGAGGAAGGGACAGTGACCCTCCAGGGAATAGGACAGGCTGTGCCCCAAAAAAGCCTCAGAATCTTAAAGTGGCAAGACTCTGAAGGCCACACAGGGCTTTTCCAGCCATATGTTTTGCCTGGCCTCCCTATAAACCTCTGGGGACGGGACCTCATGCAAGAAATGGGAGTGGTCCTCACCACTCAGGCACCCAAGTCCAAAAGCAGGGGCCCCCAGATGATGCAAGGGAGGGGCTGGAGCCCGGGGAGGGAACTAGGTAAACTAGAACAGGGAGAGGTTTGCCCTGTGGCATCCCTCCCTTTGGAGACCAGGGCCCCAGGGGATAGGAAGGGTTTTGGCCATTTTTGATGAGGGTCACTGTTGCGCCGCCAGCCCCCATGCCCATCACATGGCTATCAGATGATCCGGTATGGGTGGAACAGTGGCCCTTACCAGCGGAGAAACTAAGGGCGGCTCACCAGTTAGTTCAAGAACAATTGGAGGCAGGTCATTTGGTTCCTTCCACGTCCCCTTGGAATACCCCTATATTTGTAATAAAAAAATCTTCAGGGAAATGGAGGTTACTACAAGACTTGAGGGCAGTGAATGCGACCATGCAGCCTATGGGGGCT